GGACACTTCCAGGGATCCAGGGGCAGCCACAGCTTCTCTGGGTAACCTGTGCCAGGGCCTGCCCACCCTCCCAGCCAGCAATTCCTTCCCAATATCCCATCTGACCCTGTTCTCCTCCAGCTTAAGGCCATTCCCCTCATCCTGTCACTCCTTGCCCTCGTGGGAAGTCCCTCTCCAAGTCTCCTGGTCATGACAGCCCTTCCCTCTGTGCTGAGGCCTCTGGCTCCTCCAAGCTCCTCTCCCTCCCCTCTGGGTTCCCCTCCCAGCACTTGGGTGGTCCAGCCACAAGGCAGATGTGGGAGCTGTAATAAATGAAGATTTTAATTGCAGACAGTGTGTGAGATGGATTCTGCACCAAGAGCTACCGTACTGGGGCAGTGTTCTGATATAATTTTGATGTTTCCTGCCTTTTTTTTTTTTTTTTTGTTCAGAGCAAACTCTGGGAAAGTATAAAGAATATCCCAAGGCCGTGGGTGGATTTGATCAGAAACAATTTGGACATTTGCTGGGACCTCTTGAAACACTCCCTCTTTTCTGCACACACAAAAAAAAAGAAAAAGAAAAATGACCTTATTGACAAGGTAAAGTCCTCGATTTGTAACTTTTCAACACCAAAGTGCTACTGCATCTGATTCAAACAAAGAAGCAAAATCATATACATATATAAAAAAAGAAAAAAAGAAAAAAAGAGAAAACTTGAAAAACAAATGGTTTTAAATAAATCCAGCTGTTTTGCTGCCTGCAGCCAAGGATCTTTTTAATTTGAATCCTTTTAACTTTTTTTTTTTATTATTATTATTTTTTTTATTATTTTTTTTTACAACATCAAACACTGATCTGCAAAGCCCTGCTTTCAAATACTCTCTGAGTCGACCTGCAATTGTTTCACTCGCTTAAGAGGTACGTTAAATAATAAATCAGCTCGTTTGGGACGCACAGGCTGCTCAGAGCTCCATCCAGCTCGGCCTTGGACGCTCCCAAAGATGGGGCAGCCACAAATTCTCTGGGCAACCTGTACCAGGGCCTGCCCACCCTCAGATTTCCACGTTGGCTTCACTTCTGAAGGGCCAGGAGGCCCCCACTGGCACTGCCAGGCAAGCCTGGGAGCAGACTGGGGCCGTATGGGCGGGTATTTAATTAGGGAATATTAAATCTGCCTTATGGAATATCTACATCCTGATCCTGAGGGTCACCCCTGGTGACGAAGGAAAAGCGTGGGAGCGATAGGGAGAGATGACTCCGCTGACATTCCCAGGGATTTTGGTGCCTGCCAGCGGGAATCGGGCACCTCGATGCCTTTGGGATCCTGAGCCCAGCGAGCTGAGGAAGGTGAGAGTGAGATAATTGTAAACAACATTTTTAGGTAATTAAGAGGTCACTTTCAGCCATCATTATCCAGCCTTTTTCATCGTGATAAAATTTGACTTTGGCTGCTACCAAAAAAAGGCAATTGCTGATATTTTTTTTTTTAATATAGAGATATTTAAATAATAACAAATAAGAAAAGTCTAAATATCAAGCATAAATATCAATGAACTCATCAAAGAAGTACAGTAGTTGAAAATGACCCAAGGCTGTAGCCGTTGTGTTAAAAAAAAACAAATCAAAAAAAAAAAAGAAATCCAAGAGATAAAAAGTTAAATTAACTCATTGAAAAAGGAGCTGATTCTTTCAGCTGACAAAGCAAGAAAGAAGCGAGCGTGA